GAGGTCGCCGTCGAGTCTGCGGCTCTCCGACTGCAGTTTGGTGAACTCGGCGTCCTGCAAGCTCAGAGTCTCCTCAGCTCTCCTCAACTGGGCCAGCGCGGTGGTCAGATCGCCCTCCTTCTTCTGGTGCCTGAAAGAGACGCGAGCACAACGTTATCGGTCATGTGATACCAGCTGCTGCACAGCAGAAGTTAAACACTCGCATTAAAACAGAAACATCACAGGATTCAGTCAGTCACTTTGGAGTTTCAAATGCACAAACTCAGATCCACAGACACACAGTCCACGTTTACCTCTTGCTGAGATTAGCCCGACTTTATATCACCATGACTTTTAATGAAACTGAGCCGAACCTGCTCATCTGCTGTCTGCTTACTTTAGAGCCTTTACAGCTGTAACATGTGAGAGTGGCTTTAACTGGACTCCAAGCACTCGAGTCACACCAGGGCTGTGGAGGTCTGCAGGGCGAACACTGCTGCACACTGACCTGTGTCTCCATCGGCTTCCAGTTCACCTCCGTGTCCTGCTTCTTACATTCAAAGCGCTTCATAACCTCGCTCCTCCACACGTGCTCTGTTCTTCTCCAGCTTTCCTCTCGTCTGTTCCACCTGCTCGCATGTCTACCGTGGGACTCTTTGGTCGTTCTGTGCCGACACGTTGGGATGCACTTCCACCAGATCTCCGGACTACAAACTCCCTCTATACTTCCATCTGTTCAGACCTGCAGACCCTTCATCACGACTCCGTCTTAGTCTAGCTCTACCTTGTTTAGCTTTTTGTTTAATATTTACCTTATGTTTTATTTTGTTGTACTAATGTAAGGTGACCTTGAGGGTCTTTAAAGGCGCATATAAATAAAATGTATTATTATAACAGTGAGCAAAGTTCTTACAACCAGACTGAGGGAAGATTTAATCCTCATGATGAGACAAACGTTTATGAAGGATCAATAATCAGCATCCATCAACTCCTATAAAGTTTTATAAAGGGGGCGGAAACCATCCCCTAAATCAGACACTTTTTGACTGGAGTCTGGTGTAACGCTGTGCGCTCCTACCTCGCCTGCAGCGTCTTGTGCTCCTCGCTCAGATTCCCGTAGTCGATCTGCAGCTGGGCCCTCTCCTGGGCAAGGCCGTCCAGGGACTTTCTGACGTCGGCCAGCTCCTCCTCGTACAGCCTCCGCACGCTGCTCCTGGCCTCCTCCTTCTCCTCCAGCTTCAGCAGCATGTAGGAGCGCTCACTCTCCAGCTCCTGCACCCGCTGGATGTAGTTGGCGAGGCGGTCGTTGAGGCCCCGGAGCTCGTCCTTCTCCTGCAGCCGGGACAGGCGGGACGGGCTGGTACTGGAGGCGGACAGGCCGGCCGCCGCGCCGCTTCGCCGGCCGGCGGAGCGGCTGGATCGGCCAGTGGAGGAGGAGGCGGCCGCCGGGGTGGAGGTGGCCGCGGGGGTACAGATGGGCGAGGCCATGACGGAGGTGCTCGCGGTGACAGCTGCACAGAGCCGGGGACGGTCCTCGGGACGGCTTTAGTAGCACAGCCGGCCTCACCTGCACGCAATCATTCCTGACGAGCTGACAACGGCACGAGCGCGCGACCGAACCGCGCAGGGTACATCCGGCTGACCTTTCAAAATAAAACCAGCAACAAAGGCTTGAGATTTTTTTTCTCCAACTTTATTTCATCAGAAACTTTAACAACAGGCATAATACACGTAGTGCAAAATTCTAATGCAGTGGAACAGCATGAATAATTAAACAAACAGGATAGAAATGCAGATTAAAATGGGAAAATGCGAGGGATACAGTGACTGAATAATTACAAAAACCATTAAAATATTACAAATATTAATGGTTTTTAAAGCTTTTGCTGTGAGAGGAACAAATTGTAGTCACATAGA